AGGACAGAGGAAAAAAATAATAAAAATTAAAAAAAAAAAGAAAGAGCACACAGCTGCCATCCCAAAAACAGACCTCCCATCTGCCACCCACGATTTGCATGTCACCTTCTCCAGGCTCATTTGTACTTCATTAACTGCCATTGACTTAACAAGATTTATGCAAATGACACCATAGGAGCTCGCTAACTCCCACTGCAATCAAGTGATTATGTATGTACAATTCTCCACAGCAATGAAAAATTAATACATGACAAGCCCCCTCACCGCTGAGCTGAGCTTCTTGCTTTTATTTTTCTTGTTGTGTGCATTTTTTTTTAAATTTGAATATACCCTACTGATAAAAGATTTCCCAAACCTACAAAAGCCAAAGTAATTTTCCCAAAACGCTACAAAACCTCTCCATTCTAGAAAAGMAATTCCCCTGAACTGTACAGCTCAATGTGAGCTCCAAAATATTCTTCAAAATATTCACTCAAGCTACCAGGAACAAGTCTTTTTTTTCCAGAATAAATGGATTTGAAGGGAGGATTCTCCAACAAGAGCAAGCCACTCATTTTAAGAGTACTATTAGCAGTGCTACAGCAAATAGCTTCAATATTCTTAGTTTAAGCACCGCTTTCTCAGGAGTACAGAACTTTTAACAGATTTGCACTTGGAGCCAATATTRTTCAAGACTTTTTCTGACTCCATTTTGTTTGCACAAGATATTTCAAGAGCACACAAGTGAAATTTTTTATCATTTTAGAAAAATACTGATGTTGCCAGTTCTCAGCAGCTGCTGAAAGTCCMGGATTTCAGGCATGCTCATATGGCTGTGCATGTACAAGGTATTGATACCTCCCTGGGAAATTKGCCTTCCCAAAATTTCACTCACCTGGAGTATTTCGGCAGGAGTGAGCAGCCATCCTTTAAAAACATGCCTGCTTTTCACTGCCTACATTTTGGGTTTCTGCTGAGAGCAGGAAGGGTTGTCAGGACAGTTTTATATGGCTYAGCCCAATAAAACTGTATTTAGCACTGCAGTGAAAAATCAGCTTTACCACATAGAAAGGACACAGAGAATAAGAACATTAMCTCTTTTTGACCAGGCTGCTGTGAGTTAAGGATAAAGCCCTGAAGGAGTGAGGTGCTTTCTCTTTCATGGGCAGGGACATCTTCCCCTAGACCAGGTCGCTCAGGGCTCCATCCAAACTCTACCAAACTCYCAGGGATTTCCTTTAAATTCATAAGGATTCAGGGACCAAGAACAGGAATGCAGGAGCAGGTTGCAACTCTTGGCTTCTTCTAAGCAAAACCCACTRGCAGCTGTGCAGATCAGAACCTGGGTCCCAGAAAGTTGGGACAGAATCATCAACAATTCTTTCATAGTGCTGGGAGAGATCCCATTTTTTTTTCCTCAAAACCAGAACATTTTCATCCTCCAAGGAACTTGTTTTGGTTGGAGATTTTATCACTTGTTTGGGGGGTGTTTGGTTTGGTTTTGTTGTTTGTTTGGGGCTTTTTTTGGTGGAGTTTTTTGTTGCTGAGTTTCATCCTCCCATAGCAATTCTGGCAATGCTGTAATCTGTATTCAGCTTTCTGAAACCTGATTTCTCTTTTTATTCTCAAATATCCCAAGCAACAAGAGACAGAACAAGAATAAACAGGCTCAAGTTGCAGCAGGGGAGATTCAGATTGTAYATAAGAAAAAWTTCTTCACAGAAAGGGCAGTCAGCCATTGGTACAGACTGCCCAGGGCAGTGGTGGAATCCTCATCCCTTTAAAATCCATGYGGATGTGGCACTTGGGGACATGGGCTAGTGGTGGCCTTGGCAGTGCTTGCCTAAACTTTGAACTTTGTTATCTTAGAGGGCTTTTCCAACCATAATGATTCTGCGATTCCATTTGCCACAGAACACATCACAATGGGAGGGATTTCTCATCTGAACAAGAACAGTAGCACTAAAATTTTTAGGTCAAGAAGTTCCCTTTCACATCCCTCTGTYTTCTTCCCAGTTAAGGCATGAAATAAAAGACACCAGACTTTCTTAGCAGGAATTTCTACTGCCTCAGAGAGAGGTCTGAGTACCCGGCAGCTGTCAGGCCCTCCAAGAACAGGGCTSTATCAGCAATTGAAGGTGGAGCCACCTTTACTGATCAGATCTCCAAAATCTCAGTGAGATGTGAAATCCCACTGGGAGCAGCCACCCTACAGCACTGCACACCACCCAACTCCCACCCCAAATCCCGATGAATAGGATGGATCTGCTGAGGACACACATCAAGGGTTTGTAGGTGATTGCTTGTATGTAAGAAAACGAAATTATCATAATTGGGATTAATAACAAGAAGGACACATTCCCAAAAGATTGGTCATATTTGGTACACAAGCAGGGCTGCAAGGAGAATTTTTTCCATAYAAAAATTCCAGAGATTGTAGGGGATATTTTGTTACACACACTCTAGCACAATCACACTCACAATGTTTACCTTACAGTACTCTTCCTAGATGTGTATTTTTAATCAAATTAATTCCATACAACAGCATTTTAGGAAAAAACAGTCCATATGCCTGGAATAAATATTGGCACATCTCAGTTTTACATTCTCAGCTGCACTTTTGTTTAATTAGCATTACCCAAAAGGACTGCAGCYGGTCTAACCCATCCTGTACCATACAAAAGCTGTAGGAAAATGAAACTGTAGCTTGCTTTAAATGCCTGGAATCTCCTCCCCTGAATGCAGWGCCAAATACTCAGCTCCTCTGCTTTCAAACTGCTCTTCTGGATTGCAGCATGATTAAAATTTGCCTACTCGAGATTCACACACGGCAGCATTTTTGCTGCCTGATGGCCCCATAAGGTCTTTTAGAATGACTTTAAGAAGGAAAATCACTGCTAATAGTTAAGGGTACAAAATCATCTCCTCCTCGCATCTGGAAACAGAGGAAAAACACAAAACACCCCAAAATATGTAAACCCAGCTCCACACAGGACACCCAGGGCTACCTGGCAAGATAAGGCATGGACTGAGGGAAGATTAGGAGAGGCAAGTGAGCYTCTGGAGGGCAGGAAAGGCATCAAAACAACTGGAAAGAAAATAAGTGGAAAAGAAAGGGAGCTTATCTCTAKCAAGGCAACTCACACATGAGTAAACACTTGCAATCACTAACACAGAAATTGTGTGAGMAGCATTCCATGGGAATGAGATCTCAGCCACACGGGTTCAGTGCCATTTCATTTGAGAAAGAAAATCATCATTCCCCAAACGCTTCCCATCCAACACTGGCATTGCTTTTGCTTTTCAAAGGAGAGTTCCCAGCTACAATTTAGCATCGAGTTTCCAGGCTAATGAAAGTGCATCTAGGCTAGTAAAACAGACCAAAACAAATCCTCGGCTTCAAGTCCTGTTGTGTAATGAGAAAGTTTAATTAAGGCCACACATTACAGCTGTAAACGTTCTCTTATATAATAAGGTCTAAATGAAACTGAACCTAATCAAAGTTACAATTCCTTCATTAGCAAATTACAAACAAGAGCGCGCAGCTGACACACCGGCCATGATTATCACAACTAATTGCCTCGTTGTTACGGAGCAGCCTGAAACTGTGTTCAGATGTCCGTCTGTGGTAGCAAATTAGGGCCACATCAGGCTATTCCTGCGATCACAAGGGGCTCTTGTCGAGCGATCTGATTTACCCTGCGCCTGGCAGCACTCGGCCCAATCAAAGCCCCCTCTACAAAGGCAGCTTTGAAGCCAGCACAGCCTAGAAACCCGCTCCATATGCAGGCCGGCAGACTGCACTTCATTAGGCCTGTTGTCACATTTTCCCTCTTCTTATTCTAATGATCCTATTTTAATACACATAGGAACCTCTCCTAATTGATGTCAAGTGAGTGACTTCCACATTCATCACCGGCGCACATCAAACGCCGCTCGGCGCGCRGGCCCCGCCACCGCAGTGCCGAGGAGCCGAGGTGTGTCTCCCAACTATGGAAAGCAGGGAAGAAAAAAATACAACTATTTCGGCATTACCTGTTTAATTGGGATTGCGCGGCCGCTTCCAATGCTGTCTGTTCTGCTCTCCAGGACCTTCTTCTCTTTGTCTGGGTCACTCCCTTTCCGAGACTGCAGAGCGAAAAGAAAAGTTTGTGCTCCATTAAATGCACACAGAGGATGCTTTTATTTGCCTTCTTTACCAGGCAATTAAAAAATAATTTGGCATGTAAATATAGGCTCGAAAGATGCGAGTTAAATCTACACAAGTACACAACCATCCTAAAATCRGAATAAATTTCCCATCCACCACCCATAAATTTCAACCATTCACTAGTTTGAAATGCATTTGGGTTTAGAGAGTTACAGTTTCACTGTCTAAAGATCCAGAACATCAGAGGACACATTTCTGAAGTTTCCAATAGTAGCTCCAAAGAGGAATGAAGGTGCCATCTCCTCATTAAAAAAATGTAGTATAYCCATGCATACATTTAATTCACACCAGTGTGGTTCTTAGATATGTCCTCAACTATTTAGAAATTCAACTCTTTAATGCTGGTTTTGACTATATGGACTTTATTTTTTTTTTTTTCTGCTTCGGGATGGGTAGGAAGTTGAAACTGCAAGAAAAGCTGATGACTGCTGGTGGAAAAAGTTATCTGAACACAATGTGGAAAAASTAGCATGAGGACAATTTAACCAATGTCTAAAACCTGAATTGCTTTATCCTGGCTTTCTCTAAGGCTGGAACTGCTGCAAGAGTAAGGTCACAGCGCTCACTTCATGACTTTATCAAGTTATATGGGAATTTGAAGAAGTTATTCAGATTGCAGCCMGTTATTGCGACAGAACGCACGAGCGCAATGATTTTGACAGATTTATTTTATTACAAAAAGAAGACCTGAGAGTCATCCTCCTTAATAACTGAACTGACAAGTGACAACTTCACTCCATTACTTTCCAATGGGAACATTACTCACACAATATCGAAAATGGGAAAACATTTTCATGTGCTTTTCAACTCGGCGATGATGTATGAAGGGAACCCATTTGTGGTGTCCGGCGCCACAATGGGGAGTTAATGAAAACAGGGGCRACGTCAGAGCCTGCTCCGCATTTTCAGCGGAAAGAGACGCTCGRAACACCAGAATCAGGAGGACAATCGGGATCGTGGATCGCTAATGCCYGTTTTCCCCATTCCACAAAGGGGTGCAAAGAAGAACAAACCCCCGGAGCAGCTGCCTTCGGGCCTGAGAGGAGGGAAGGGGAGGGAGGGAAGCCAGTGAGGAGGACTCCAAGTAACAGCATTCTAAGTAACACATTTACCCAGCGGGGATCCCGTGCTGCCGCGGCCGCTCCGCCGGGAACGGGCTCCTATCACCAGTTACTATGGTTCGGGGCAATGGAATGACGTGCCGGGGAATTAAACAAAGAATAAATGAAAGCAAGCAAAACAAGTGGGAGGGATGAAATCCAGTGTGCAGGATAACTATTGTTCCCCGTCCTTCAAGACAGATTTCTGACTCTGAAAGTGCCACTTCCCAAGAATACATGGCAAAACAAAGCTTCAATGGCGTAAAGCGCCCAAAAGTGACATTGTAAAGAAACTCAGTGAAGGTGCCCAAATCCTTGGGAGGGGAGTTGTCAACTTGAATGTTTCTTTTTTATCTGACTGGTTTTTTAGAGAAAAGACCCTGCCTCTGAAATGTAGGCTGAATATCTATGCACTGTTTTTCATTTCTGGTTTTAAATCAGCACCATTCCCTAAAAGTAATCGCATCTGGAAATCACACACTGCACATGGAAGGGAAATACCTACGTGCAAAACATGGTTAAATACCRAAAGTACAGAAATGTAGGGATTTCTGTTAGGCAAATTCTCTTCCAGCTGCATATAATCACAAAATCCCTAATGTTTTCCAGAGRAGATTCTTAGCACGCGCTGCTATTTATAAAGATAAATTGTGCACTGAAAGAGATCTGATCTTTTATGCTTTTGTACCTATGACACACACAATATGTCTCATATCCTACAGCAGAAAAAAAATCCACTCCAAGCCACACAGCAGCAACACTTCCCATGACTTTTTCTGATGGTACAGCTACACATTAAATGGTTCTATTTAAAACTAAGTGCCAGCAAACCAGAAAAAGTCTGGAAAAATTAAACCACCTGCACGATCATCATGGGAGTGATTTCCCCTTTGCRCTGGAAGTCACTCACAGATTTAATCCATGTAAAACTTGCCCCAAGCTGTCACATCTGATTCAGGGCACAACCAGACCCAGACCAGCAATGCAGAGCACCCCAAAAGTAAGAACACTCGTCTCTAACAGTACATACTGAGACTGAGGGCTCACTTCAAGTTTGAAAAACTCTCTTGCAATCCTGTCAATCTGTAAGACAGGTAAACCTGAATATGAGAAAGGAGATGCACCTTTCATGTCAGCGATTCCCTCACCCCATGTGGGATCACAGAATCAGTTCCTTGCTCGATGGACCTCATGGATGAATTTTAAATCCTCACCTGCCCTATACACAATTATTGGTGGTCCCTGGTATCACACTGCCCAAAACAAAGGACATTAACCCTTCTGCTAATATTTCATMGATTTTTATCACCAAAGTAGAAAATCAGCTGCTACAACAACAGCTTTCCAACAAACATTAACAGCCAAAGTCCAGAAGATCATATGCTGCATTTAATGCACTGAATATGAACATGTTTAAAATTCTCAACCCTATTCCAACTCAAAAACTGTAATCAAGAAAAATCGAGTGTTTTCTACTTAGCCCAGTTTTCTTCCAACAACAGAAGATCTAAAGCTCACCAAACAGATTACCTGTGCTAGATAACAAGGGGTGACTTGCAATTATTATACAGAAAGATATCTGATTCTGTGAGAGATAAAGGAATAAGCAAATAGGAAGAGAAGCAAAGCAAGAAACCCAGAGCTAAACATTAAAATATTTAAATTACACATTCTGTTCATAACTACACAGAAAATACTGGACATCTATTTACTCAATTAAATAATTCCAGTTTATAACTTGGATGATATGGCACAAAACATGGGTTAGTTAAACACTTCAGGACATGGATTACAGGACAACTCATTAAACAATCCCACTCCACACATATCTTAAAAGACACAACTAATTCTGCAAAGTCAAATTACTATTATTTTTTCCACTTAGCAGACATTAAGACAAGTATCAACACCCTCACATAAATATGCTTCTCACTAATTATCACAAACCAGAGCCTTAGTCTATTTGTTTATAGCTGATTTAACATTCTTCTCAAACCTTTCCTGTGACTGTAGATGGGTCTATTTTTCTCTCCTCCCTCTCTCAAATTTACAGTTGCTCCAAATTGAAACATCCCCAGTTTCCCAGATGTCAACACCTCGCACATCCTTCAGTCCAGACATGGGCGGCGATGTTTTCAGGGATGCAGTGGCATCCCAGCTCTGCTTCCAGAGCTCTGATTGCTGGTGGTTCCTGGGCTGACACTGACATCTAGTGGGGTTGGGAACTCCAGAGTATTCCCACCGAACTCTGGAGTATTCCCACCAACAGGAAGAAATCTGCACAATTGCTATCAAATATTTGCTATAAAAAAAAGATTAGTGTCAAAGTTGGGATACTTCTTCTCAGACCACTCATTTAATTGGTTTCCATTTACACATTTGCATCCAATCACAAATGTGTGATTTCCTCTCCTTTGTAGGAGTGGGAGATTTGGGTTTAAATCCAAATATGCTGTTGGGATGGACACAGGGTCCCTGAAGCTCTGTGCTGTCACTCAGAGCTCCAAAACAGACACAAAACTTCCTACTTGCTGAAGGTGGAGAGCTCAGATTTCATCCAGAGTATAAGGAAATGGATTCCTCGAGTTTATATGAGGGAAGGGAGCATGACATCACTCCAGGAATAAAATACATCAATTCTTCCTGTTGACAGGGAAGTTGTGGGTTCCCAAACACAACTAACATGTAGCTACAACCCCCGAGGGAGTTACATGAGAGCCCACAGGGATTCTGAGTTTGCTCTGAAGTGTGTTAACAGTCAAAAAACTGCTTACAAACCACAATTACACCTGCAACACGATCCCAGAACTTTCAGCAAGAGGGCTAAACCAAGGAAATCATCAYGCAAGGCTTCACTAGCATCTCCCAAACTACTTCTGCATAACAAAGACCTGTCATATTGTACCAGCCAGCTATTTGGTTTGGGGGTGGTTTTTTGCCTCTCAATGAAGCAAAAACCAGATGGTTTGGAAAGAAATGAAGTTATTTTCATCTCCATCATCTTTTTTAAACCTGGAGAAGGAACAGGTGATCTGATTCTGTATAGCAATAAAAGCAACATTGGGTAGTTACAGAATGGTTTGGGAGGGATCTTAAAGGCTTAAAGCCCATCCCACATCCTGCCACAGGCAAGGACACCTTCCACTGTCCCAGGGTGCTCCAAGCCCTGTCCAATTAGGCCTGGAACAATTCCAAGGATCCAGAGCAGCCACAGCTTCTCTGKGCACCCTGTGCCAGGGCCTCACCACCCTCATACAGAGGAATTCCTTCCCAGTATCCCATCCATCCCTGCCCTCTRGCAGTCCCATCACTCTATCCYTTGTCCAAAGTCCCTCTCCAGCTCTCCTGGACCCCCTTTAGGCACTGGAAGGGGCTCTAAGGTTTCCCTGGAGCCTTCTCTTCTCCAGGCTGAACAACCTCAARTCTCTCAACCTGTCTTCCTAGGARAAGTGCTCCTKTTTAAGCCTCAGACAGARCCACCCAATGACACACCCGAGATGTTTTTGTTTGAAGTCCACAGATCCATCTCACCACTCCTGTGTGGCTCAGAGCAGCCYAGCTGCAGAGGGCTGAAGCTCAGGCTGTCCCCACAGTACCCTGCACACCACAGCACCAGAGCATCCCCTGGCTCACTCACCGTGAAGAGGTTGGATCGGCGCTTGGACTGTTTACGGACAGGAGTTGGTGTGTTGGCAGTGGGAGGAACATCAATCCGCAGCTCCTTCTGGCTGGTGCTTGGAGTTGATGGGACAGAGGAGGAATAATCACTTAAACTCCCTCCTCCATTACTGGTCTGCAAGGATTAAAGTGAGTTTTAAACAGTGGTACACTGCTTTCAAGAAATGACAATCCACAGCTGTATCTTATTTACTCCTGATTTACTCCGTATTTATGCAAAACAGCAGCCAGGGCTCAGGGACTCAGCAGGGCTGCCCTACTGCCACTTCTCCACACATTTCTATTCCAAGCCTTTAAACATCTCCCCTGCCATTATTTTTTGAATACTTAGCTAGCTCTGTTTATACAGCAGACACATTTTCATTCTACACAGTATAACCTTARCTGGGTATCAGCAGGTTCATTTGTTTTCTAGTGTACGAATATGCAAAACATTGGGGAAAATCTTTAAAACCTGGATTTCTACTTCCTAACTACTAAACTAAATTCTAACCTAAGAGAAAATACCCAGGGAGCTGCACAGCTGGACCTAAGCCTAGTCTGGAGACACCAGATCACTGAGAGCTGATCAAGAAAATAAAAATAATTCAGCATTGTAAAATGGCTGCTATGGGGTTGGATAAATCCCACCACATTCCAAGCATCACAGAATCTCCTGAGCTGCAAGGGACCCACAAGAATAATCAAGTCCAACTCCTGGCACTGCACAGGACTTTGCTGAAGTCACTGGCACAAAGATACAAAACTTGTAAGTAAGATATTCCAATTTATTCAAAACTCCTGATGTTACATCATAGTCCTGAAAAAAAACAGAGTGAACCCATAGAACAATAAATGAACAGAGGGAACAAATTCCTAAAAGCAGGAAGGCGATTAAACCAGACAGAATGGAAAGRACAAAAAGGTGATTAAGAACAAAGTCTCATTTTTGCTTTAAAAGGACTTAATACACATATCGTGAATGAGTACAAAAACACCATTAAAGGAGAAGATGCTCCATGTGATGGGGGATGGGGCAGGACAACAGGGAAAATTCTGCCTGCTGAGGATGGAAAGCTCAGCAGTGGCTGAAGGSGCTGGACAACAACTCACATAAAGCTTTTGGGGGGAAAAATTTTTGGGATGCACACAGAATGGAGAAAATCCATCTTTAAAGCAGTCAAGTTTCCTAGAGAAAGTGAGGAAATGTGTTAAGAGGGTATTTCCAGAATTCCTGAGRAGAAAGATGCCTGACAGAACTTCCCCCATGTTCCTTGGGGATCAGGACCTCACGGTGCAGCCAGTCAGGATGGAAAAGTAGGAAACAACCCCTTACACCCCACAGCAGACGTCTCTCCTAGCGTTCCAAGTTCTCTTCTGATTCTTGTCGCTTTTACAAATCACGGAATCAGAGGTGAGGTCACTGAAAGCAACAGCGGGGCTGAAGAGAAATTTCCTACAACACTTTCAAGAGCCAGAGGAAGAGCAGCAGAATTCAGAGATGTGCATAAAATAAAGGAGATGAAGTATAAAATAAAGGAGATGAAGTAACACAACTGAAATGATTATTTTTAGTGTCCTAATGGAGAATGGTAATGCAGGAGAGATGAGCAGGACAACCTGGGAAGAAGTGGCCTCAATCACCCCACATGTGCTTTTCCTCTCACTGTGGCACCTTGTTCCCAAACCACTGRCTGTGTCACAGATGAGAAAGGTGGCATGAAAACCTTGGGTTTTTTTAACTGAAATTAACCGATTTATACCCTAGGAGCCTATTTCTCAGGTGAAGAACATGAAGGATTCCCTAAAATTTTACCTTTTAAATCCTTCATCATTTTATAGCAGCATTTTACACGTTTTGCAGCTGTCGCCTGTATTTCTAAGTGATTTATTTTCCAGGAGTGAGTAACTCCTAAAGGAAAACACAAACCTGTTGGATATTCCATTCCCCAAAGACACACAGAGAGTTTCTATAAAAGAAGTCCTGCAGGCAATGTTTCTCTCTTCACACACCAACCCTCGCTGGATTTCAAACTTTGTAAATAAAATTCTGAGGTGGTTTCAAAATAAGCCACTGGTTGGAACAATGGAAAACACAACCAGAGAAACACTTGGAAACCATATTAAAAAAATCACAGACTGGTTTGGGTTGGAAGGATGATCTAATTCCATGTTTCCACTATCCCAGATTGCTCCAAGCCCCATCCAGCCTGGCCTTGGACATTTCCAGGGATCCAGGAGYARCCACAGCTTCTCAGRGCATGCTGTGCCAGGGCCCAGCACCCTCACAGGGAGGAATTTAAAATGTCAGCTCTAGATAAATATTACATTACTTAAAAACTATATATGTGGCAAATTTGATTTGCCAAAAAAAGGAGGCAAAAAGCAGAAGGAGCAAAAAAAWTTCCAAAAAGCTGAAGGAGCAGCTAAGTTAAGCAAAGTAGTCCCTTCTCTGGGCAAGTGTCCAAAATATTACAACAGAACACTGCACCCCAAATGGCCCCTGTGATAAATTAGATAATTGTTTCCTGCTATTAAGTGCTTATCCATAATCAGGTCTCACATACAATAAAATAATGGATGATCAGGTTGAATGCACTTTGCTTTCAATAGTTTAATTTACATATTTAGACAATCATGTTGTAGYAAAAACAGAATGGAGGCACAGTGCAAATAGAAATAATGCATCACTACAGATTTGCAAGAGGTAGTAAGGAACAAGCTTTTGTGGCAGCCACACCTGAGTTGCAGCTTCATAGGAGATGTTAAAGCTCCCACTTTTCCCAGAAATAATGTAAATCTCCAGGGAGAATGACACTGGTGACCAGGAAACACAACTCTCAGCACTGCAGCCCAGATGTATGGACACAGAGGAGCTGGAGCATGTCCAGGGAAGGGAAYGGGGCTGGGGCAGAGGGAGCTGGGAAAGGGGCTCAGCCTGGAGAAAAGACRGCTCAGGAGGGACCTTCTGGCTCTGCACAAYTCCYTGACAGGAGGGGACAGCCACATGAGGGCTGGGTTCTGCTCCCAGGAATTAAGGGACAGGATGAGAGGAAATGGCCTCAAGTTGCACCATAGACTCAGAATGGATATTAAGGAAAATTTCTTCACCCAAGGGTGTCTAAGGTCACTCTGTCACAGTGGAACACACATAGACCAGGCAGCCATGGAAACATGGTGCTATTTCAATCCCCTCTCACAGCAAAGCATAACAGCTGAATTCCTGGGAAGCCAGCAAGTGTGAAAACACAAGCAGACTGCAGATTTGCAGGAATTACAGTCACTGGTAAAACAATATTTCCACCTTTATGTTCAAAACTGTACTTCACAAGTAGGCTCACACTGCTGGGGATTCCTGGCTGGAATCTGCACATCATCAGTGTGTCTGGGAAGAGGCCTGGAGTTTTTCACAGGAACTGCTGTGCCAAAGGGTTTTCCAGCTGGTTTTACAGCAGTGCAGCCTCAAAGCCAGGCCCAGCTCCAGGTAACTCAGCAGGTTATGCAGCCCCCACAYAGGAGGCACCAAGAACCAAAGCTGGGGTCCACCTGAGCAGCCTCATGGGTTTTGGAGACAGATGATCTCCACTTTCAACAGCTGTTAAAAATTAAAATAAAATTAAAATATTGGCACTATTCTTCTAAGTTAATATCTGCAAAATGCCTTCCTGACATGTCAGGTGYGAAAAACAAGCAACTCCTCTAGCACAGGGATGAATTTAGGGAAAAGGAATGTCTGTGGGGTTTTGTGGGTGAAAAGGGAACTCATGCTACTTAAAATTTAGCATGGTCTACAAGCATATCATGCCTAGGAAAACTGTCAAGGGATAGGAGAATGAAAGGTGGGATAGACATGCAGAGCACACAGACACAGCAGTGACCGGTCTGTACTTGAAAAAAGTAAATTAAAGACCTATTCCAAGATGCCCTGTGGTAAATAAGAGGAGGCCCTCAATCCATTGAACAACACTTCTTCCCCTCTAAACAACTCAGTCTAGCTCTTGAAGTGTTCCAAAAAGCCAGACAGTGAGCTGTGACTGGAATACCTGAATGCATCAGGCAGAATATAACTGATGTTGCAGCATCCCTCTTGTTGACAGAGTATACAATAGTTCTGTCCATCATGGYCATGAATGATAATCCCTGGATTTGAGAATAAAATCCTTTGCATGCACTCTGTGCTGCCCCAAAAGCCAACAGAGGTACCTGAAGTACTGCAAAGGTTTGTTGACTCTGGGTATCAAGGGTTTTCAAAGAAAACCCTCATCTTCACTGATGTACACATTAAAAACAAAGTCAGAAGAAAAATTAAGCAGTGTCTACTACAAAGACAAGTGGATTTTGTCTTTGGAATAGGAAGCACCTTACTGGGTAGAACAGCTATCTGGAAATATGCAATTAAAGATACTCCTGACAGCATTTTCTGGAAGGGGACCTTACCGAGGCATTCACCACCTTGGACTTCTGGACATCAGGGTAGAGAAGCACCTAAACACATACACACACACAAGCCTTTCACAGAATCCCAGAATGGTTTGGGTGGAAGAAATTTTAAGGCTGATCTCATTCCAACTCCTTGCCATGGGCAGGAACACCTTCCACTATACCAGATTGCTTCAAGCCCTGTTCAACCTGGCAAACTGAAACTACAGAAGCMCTGGATGGTGTTAAAGCTTAGAATTCCCCCCAAACTATGCTAAGGACTAGCTTGGGTAAGGTGGCACTTGATACTTCTTTTTTCCTTTCTCTAAAGCCTAAGCTTTTGACTGCAGAGTCATCTGGAGAGTTTGCAGGAGTTCGATCCCCAGGATGATCCAACCAGAGATGGAACAATATCCGACTTTATCTGAAGTGCTGTGTGTAACCACTGCCTCTGAAGGCCTCTGCTCCTGTGGAGAATGCAAGTGGCAGGGCACTGCAATGCTAACGGGTTTGATTCATGGAGGAAATCTTCAGAGAAACATCATTACGCCAAGAGAGATGTTCCAAAGGGCAAGACACCAGCCAGTCTTCCAGCCAAGATCAGAGATGGCAAATCTTGCCCCAGATCATCTTAAACTTGGAATTGCAGTTGCAAAGTTCTTTTAAGTCTAGGATAAGGATTYAGCTTCCTTCCCTTAAACAAGGTCATACTGCCTTTAAGTGTAGCACAAAGGAGATACGACATGAAACAGATTTCTGGCCTCTACTTTTAGGCATGACATCAGTCTTAGAAGAGAGACAYCTTTGACTGGTGATGCAATTGCCCCTTTAGGTAATTATGACACCTGGCAAAGGCAGTAAAGAACATTATTTCATTTTTATTGAAACAGAATCTAGGGAGCCTTCTCACAAAAGCTACCTCGCCTTGATTTTCCCAAACAGTTCTCATTGCTGGCAAGAAGTTTGCTGCATAGGTGATGTACTGGTCTAGAATTTGGTGTTTGCTGTTGACCTTCAAACTAGAGTTGGGTAGGAAACTGGTGAGGCCCCAGATACYTGATATCCTTCATCAAAAAACACTTCATTAACAAGAAAAGCTTCATTAACAAGAAATGCCTTCACAGAGAGGACAAGTTCCAAGTGCTTCTGGCCATGAATGTGTCAGAGAGCAGCTGAGGAAACCTGGCCCATGTCACATAATGTGAGACCTTGTACTTCAGCAGAAGGTGCCAGGATCCTTCTGAAGAGCAATGCACCTCACTCAGCACCTGCTTGAGAAAGGGGGCTCTGAACTTCAGCATTCTCTTTGGGCTCACCAACAAAAACCACAGTCAGGGTCTGAGGTTGTATCAGAACTCAGCTTGAAGCAGAATAACCCAGAGCAAAGAACTTTAAGGCTACACCGGTACCTGCATCATCAGGGTTCTAACCCAGGGGCAGAAATTAATCATTGTAAGGCACTCTGTGTGGGATAAAGGTCCATAGTCAAAATAAATCCTCAAGTGGGTGGCTCAAGACTGCAAAATAACTTTAGAAGACACTGKCATGCTGTTGAGTTTAGACTGAAAACCACAGCAGAACGGCTGTGGGTGTCTGGTATTGTTGAGCTTATATCCATCCCAACTGTGGGCATTGCCCAGAGATTATCACTTGACACTAGAAAACAAGGACACTGAGGAAGGGCATCGCAGGGGAAACACAGRGGTGTGTGTAACACACGTGGGTAAAACTTGTGCAAGTCAGAAAATTTCAGTATTAACCATATGTTTCTAAAAATACCATCAAGTGTAAAATTCCAGCACTCTAACTACTGGGATACACCAGTTTAGCCCAGCTGAGTGAGCCTAACCACCAAAAACACAGTGAGGGCATGTTAAACCACAGCACAGTAAATCCTGCAACTATCATCATTGGTCTAACTCAGACCTGCAGGCTGCTGGCTATCAATCAGGATGGCTTTAAAGCCAAATTGCTTTACTATTTTGTTCTTGAAATGAAGTCAAGCCAATCTGAAAAGAAAGTCAAATATTGTTTCAAACTCATCACTGACAGCATAAAAAAAATGGCAACTACCTCTCAAGCGGCAAAGAGCACTTGAAATGGCATGAAATACATCAGATGAAAAGCAGCTTATCAGTTCCTTTTTCAAGCATTTATTTTTTCTGTACCTGGCTGATATGTACGGCAGAAACCTGGGCAGAACACACGGAGGAGTGGCTCGGAGAGTTGGGTAGAGATTTGCAGGGTCCAATTGAGAGCTGCTGTTTCTTCTTGGTAGAAACGATCTTCTGGGCAACTAAAGGAAAACAAAACATCCAGGCAGGTAAGGCAGAGCACATGTGGGGAATGATGGGAAAACAGAATGAACGAGACACAAACAGGGGGCTTCACTGCCAAAGCCTGCTCCAAAAATTGAGTGTATTACAGGGAAGATGAAGGGTGCTGGGTTTCCATGATGCTCCAGGTGAGACTCCAGGTGAGACTCCAGCTCGGTTCTCCACATGCAGGACACGGCCCCAGAACCCTCCCTCCACCTGGTGAGCACCAGAGGACCCAGGGAAAAGGAAGGGGTACAAAAAGCAATACCAGGAATTCTGTAACAAGTCCTCCTGATGTTTATAACACCACACTGACAATGCTTAAGGTAGCAAACATTGTCCATTCTTCTCTGGAATGTTCCCCTCCTCGGCTCTGATGCCAAGGAATAAGATGGACTTTCCTTAATTAGCAGCCACTGCAGCAGGACAACCAGTTTTGGAACCCACAATAAGTGAAAATTGGAACATTAGAACTGATMAAGAGTCCCTGACACAAAATGAATACCTGGATTGGTGGTGCCACACACCACATCCCAGTCAAATTCTTTACGGAAAGAAACTGTATCATGATTTCTAACTTTAGCTTTTATTCCTTAGCAGCAGCAGCACAGCTGGAAAAATGCCTAAWTTGTTTTGCAATTTATTAAGACATTTTCTTCAGCATGGATGGAAAAGCAGCATTTATCAAATGGATACAGGAATCAGAGTCATTAACATCTCTATACATAGCCTGGCAGACCCATAATAGAAAAAAATCAAACAGAACCAGTGTGAAATGTAGCAACTTCCAAACCTCTCCTMCAATTTTTCAATTTAAACAAGTCAAATTATTTTACAAATTCATCCCATCACACACTGGAATTTGAGATCGTGCTGCTATTCAACTAAAGCCTTCAGAAAGAGCTGTTTTTATGCCATAAATACATAAAATCAAAATTCGTTGCTATCTTTTGAGTCACAAATTAAAACCCAATCAAAACTTCAGTCTTTAGAAGCAGATAATTGTGTAGTGGCTAATAAAAAAAAAAGCTAACTAAATTTAGCTTCCTTGCTTACAGTTTCCTTCCTGAAGGGAAGCACTTCATGAAACTTGTGCCAAGGAGTCTGCAGTCACTTGAACTCCACCAAAACCAGAACAATTACTGGCATCTCCTTAAAAAATTCCCCAAAACTTGTACTTAAGCCCACAGAATCCAATCTGTCTTGTTCAGAAAACACAAAAAGATAATTATGTAAATTCCAGGATTATTCTTCCTTACTACCTTATAGCACAGGCAGGAATAGTACAAGCATAGTTTCTTCTCAAATGAATGCAATTTTAATAACAAACTGGTCGGTGKCTTATGTTTTTCATGTAAATGAATGATGGCATAACCATGATTTAGTGAGAATACATTGTATAAAAAATGGCTCATATATATGAAGAAGCAGCTTCATTAGTTACATCCCACCTCCAATAGGCCTCTTATCATCCTGAAAGGATGATATCAATTAATTTATCTTCCCCTAGCATATTGATCATAACCTTCATCAGCTAATCATGTTTAAATTAAAGGGGAATATCGTAGCACTCTGTCATTTCAGACCCATTGGGTTATTGATCTGGAGCTCAGGAAGCCATATATTAAAATATTTTAAACCACATTAGCGAGTGAAGAGAGCAAACCAAAGGTCAGATTTTAACATATGCACGTGGATTTGTCTTCATTGTATGTGGTAAAGACCTAAATTAAGACCAAAACTGAATAAAAACCACACATGAATGAAAACTACCTTGTCTGCAGAAGCTCCTGCTCTCACACAAGAGATAATTAKCCAAGGAAAATATTTACCTCTTCCCTTCCATGTGAATACAGGGGTGTTGGTGGCATCACATCAACACAGTCTGGCCAAGGAAGTGGAAGGCACAGGGAAAGAACCCCAAGACAGCCTRAACTCACCGACTCAAACGCAAGCAAAGTACCAGGTTGCTCCAAGCCCCGTCCAACCCAGCCTGGGAACACTTCCAGGGATCCAGGGGCAGCCACGGCTTCTGTGGGCAACATGTTCCAGGGCCTCCCCACCCTCCCAGGGAACAATTCCTTCCCAATATACCATCCATCCCAGCCGTCTGGCAATGGAAAGCCATTCCCYGTGTCCTGTCCCTCCATCCCTTGTCCCCAGTCCCYCTCCAGCTCTCCTGGAGCCCCTTTAAGCMCTGCAAGGGGCTCTGAGCTCTCCCTGGAGCCTTCTCCTCTCCAGGTGAGCACTCCCAGCTCTYCCAGCCYGGCTCCAGAGCAGAGGAGCTCCATCCTTTGGTGMATCTCCATGACCCCTTCTGGACTTGCTCCAGCAACTCCACATCCTTTTCATGCTGGACACAGGTGAGGTCAAAATAGACTGTCCTTCACCTCAAATTTCTTAGCTCCTCACACCACTAGAACAATTATGTTCTACAAAATGAATAGCAGAAATAGCAAGAAAGCAGAAATATTTTTGCCCCAAGCTTTCAGGTTTTATCTCATTCCAAAGCTGCTTCTGAACAGCATTTAAATTTAACACTCTCTAAAAAATATTTCTAAAACAGATAAATACGGACCTAATCTATGTCAGATATTAACAATAATCCAGATAGCGACAAGCATTTAAACTATTTTTAAAAATCARTTGTCTGTAGTTTTACATACTCAACTAAGCCATCAATTTAGGACAGATTTTATTGTAATACCTCAGTAGTATGAAAAGCTAAACAAAGTTTATGTGCAAAGTCAAGAACTCTTCTGCACATAAACAGGRATATGCCACGGATACTTAAGAGCTGCAAACAAGAAGAATGGATATTTAGCAAATATTTGGTCTTGGGGGGAGACTGATGCCTATTTTTAATACATTTAAATTGAATTCCACGAGCCAGAATGACTGAGATCTGTATTTTGCTTTAAGGCATTGATAATTAAAAGCATGTGAAAGTCCCACTCCAAGATGGGAGGGAAAGCTCCTGGCTTGAATGCCTCTCCTTCCATGCCTGACCTAGCGCACCACAACAAAATTAACCTTCCCACCCCCTGCCACTTTCATCTGAAAYGCTACTTTTTGTTAGTCAAAACCCACTCATTCCTCAGCATCTCAGGCTCACTCCCTGCCTGGATGGTTTTCAGGAGCGCTCAGCGCTCCGGCAGCCTCGGAGCTGCACATCGATGTTTCCACACTCCAGCTCAGCAGATCTCTGTGCAAACCACCCCGGTTTGCRTTTGCACATGGAAACAAGTGACCGTACACTCATTTTCCCCAAGCAGAGCCCTCCCGTTCTGCTCTCAGGGCTGACAAGCAGAGCGCTGAATTCCCTCAAAAGGGCACCTCCTCTCCTCGAAGCCCAGAGCTCCATAATGAACCCACTCCTCTCTGTGCTCCGTTTGGGAGCTCATSCCCATTAGGAATGCTGTTGCCACAGGAACTGCACTGACAGAGTTGTCTTGCCCTGGTTCAAAGGGCTGTTCACACGTCAGCTCCTCCTTGAGCAGATCTGGTGGGGGCAGCTGGGGCTCTCCGACCTCATTAGTGCAGCTCCATCCAAGGACAAGGACAAAAAAAAAAGAAGAAATGCAGAGACCTGGGGGGGGGATACTCCCTAGGAGAAGTTCAAGGCACAAGGTAAGAGTCTCATCTGGCTCCACAGCTCAGAAAAATGGAAACACAAAAGGTACCTCTGCAGTGCCTAAGAGATGAGTTGAGGGAAACCTCATCTAGGCTGAGACCTGAGCTCTCCCTGCTCCTAAGATGGACCCTGGAAAACATCCAAAGGCATCAACAATCTGATCACTTTTCATTCCTAAAAGGCAATGAATATAGTTCCTTTGCTTTGACCAAGGAAGGCTTGGAATATTAAAAGGGAAGACTTCAGGCATACAATATCCATAACATCTGGAGCTATTTCTCTTCTCAGTTATCACAGGAGTGCTGCACATTTAGGAGATGCAGACACTCTTCTCCAATTACGACTAATTTCAATCTAAATCCGTTTTTCATAAAAACCTGTGTAAGACCATTCATCTCATCTGTGTRTCCTAGTACAAGTAAACACCAGGTTTGGTTAAAATCTGCCACTTTGYGCAAAAGATGGGAATGCAGGACATTTTCTTCCACTGACAGACAGAAAATGGCTTTCAGTTAAASCTGGCATGCCCATGGCTAACTGAGAAACAACAGAAAGGATAAACGCTCATGAATACCTGCTTAACTACTGGAGGGAAAAAAAGCAATGCAAAACTGTGAGTTACACAGATATTTCTTTTWACCTAAAAATGCAAGTGGAAGTTAAGATATATAGCAACTTACATTTTTACAGCAGCTGCCTTTTGGCTTAATATTCCACGTTTACGGTGTAAGTAAGAATTCAATAAAAATAAATTTATTTCACAATTACATATTGTAGGAGAGGCAGTAATAACTACCAGAGCTAGCCCTAACCACAAATGTTTCCAAATGGGAAACATTAATGTCAGTAGTCACTATTAAGCMATTGTGCCTGTTATTTTAAATTCAATCCATTTTCTAGGCTAAACAACCTTTATACTTCTCTGTTTAAATGGAGAGCTTGGCATCTTACATGGCAGGTGTAATAGAGAAATGAGTGCTGAACAGTTCTAATGTTGGGGCTGGGAAATAGTAATTTATCCAGCTAATTCCTGGTCACAGGCAGCCAGAAATGGCTGAAGTTAATTTGCCCTGAACAAACAGTATGCTGTGAAGTCACACCTGGAGAGTTCTTGCTTCCACTGAACACAAACCCACTCCATGCTCTGACAGCCTATGGTGGAACTTGCTGGRAGAAACCTCCATCTCACTTTATAGCATGACCAGAAAAGGAAAGTCAAACTGACCAAAAATACAGAAATCTGTAGTGCAAGCAATGAAAAGTTCCAGGAAGGAAGCAGAAGTTCCAGGGGACAAAGTGCTCGCTTAACAAATCTTCTTCTTAAAGCAATTTTAACACACCCAG